TGGGCAATTCGGGGCCGTAAACGAGGAAGAAGTAAGTTAGGCGAAGCATTGAGGTCTTTGGGTACATAGCAAACAAAGAGGACCCGGGGAGCCCCGGATTCTCATGAATCTGAGAGGAGCCGAGCCCTCAAGAAAAGCACACACCATAGATGTAAATAGGTATCAAAAACTACCCCGGCGGCTTACAGCCGGAGGGGCAGTTCCCGCATAGCCATGGATTAAGATTGGCTGGGACGGGTATGAGTTAATCCGAATCCGAATCCGAATCCGAATCCGATATATGGCCAGCGTTCGCTACATATAGATAGATAAGCACTCATCAAGCACTCAAGCACCCGTGTACTCTAGGCTACATTAGATAGAGTATATCAATCGTTCGTTTTAATTGGGTCTTCTACATATAGGCCTCGTGCAGTCGGATAATCGACTCCTCCGGTTTCCCCTGAACCTCCGACGGAACCCATTTCAAATACTTTGCGGCGCTGGTGGTTGGACTTTAGACACCAGCGATTAGTCTCTTGAACACTACGCATATAGTCCGCAGTGCGCTCATCACGCTGTCTCAATCCCAACTGCTCTAACAATCAGTTGGCTTGGGTTCACATGGTCGAATGCCCCCTTTACATCAAGAAATAGCGCTCCCACAAGCTGTTGGAGTTTCCAGGCTTCATGGATATTCTGTATCAGACATGCCACTGCGTCAATTGCACTTCGTTGCTTGTGACTTCCCATCTGTCCTGGGTGTAGTACTCCCATAGTCTCGCAGTGGCGGGCAATTGCATCCGCTGCTATCTTCTCAACCACCTTCCCTAGGCAGTTTAGTAAGCTAATCACCCGGTAGGCCTTCACAGCTGTGTAGTCTGACTTATTGGGTTTCCTAAGCAGAATGCCTTTCGCCAACTTCCATACTGGTGGATGTAGACCTAGTCGAAAGCATTGTTGGGTTAGAGCAACGATTCTGGGGCTCTTTCCATTTCATGGAGATGGTCGGCCCAATATACACATGCGTATCGAATTGGTGCAAGTAGGTCTGGTGATGGCAGATGGACGTCTATAATGTAAAATCCAGGATGTTGCAAAGCAAAATATCCCGTCTAGACCTGGACATGGGTACCCAAAGGGTACTTTATACCCAATTCTGCACAATTTCCCTGCATAAAAATCCTTAGTCACTAGCGTGTATTTTCCTCTGTTCCTATCCCGTCACAGCGTCAATGATTATTATACAATCTAATAATCTCTCTTCTTTACCTACCATCTATAATATTACAAGAAGCTATTATATGATAGTCTACAGCGTATATTAGGTGGATATTAATTTCAAAGCATTTCCGGTCAATCGAAGTCAGTTGATTTAGAAAGTGGTCTTTTCATTGCGCATGAACTGTACAGTGATTAAAGTACTGCACCATTTAATATTCTACTCGTTGTCCTTGCCTTGGTGTTGGCTTGTTCGGCCGCTTTATGAGCTTCTCGATTTCCCCCCTCTATTTTTTTCCTCCATTTTCTTCCTCCCACTTTTACTTCTATTCGTTGCTGGATTTTCATTATTTGTTATTGGATAGCAGGGATGCGCTTTCTGTCTCCACGGGATGGGGGGCTGACGTATTATCAAATGTAGTCAGATAGCTTCTCATCCTTCTTTCTAATTAGGTGCAAACATTTAAGAGCCACTGGCACTACTGTATAAATAGCTCGATTTGCCGGCAGTGTCTCTTACTTGCCATGCCAGTTTTTTTTTATGCCTTTCTTTAGAAGAGATCCTCCGACGTCACTGAAACTCCCCTAAATTACCTGGTCAAACGCAACCCTACTGTCAGGGTGCAGGGTCAGGTACAGATATATTAGGAATTGACGAACGGGTTAAGCTACAGGTCAGGCTATCTACAGATACATAGACAAGACGCAGCTCGAAGAGCTGCAACAGGATCGGCGTCGAGCACAGATAGATATCTGAAATGGGTTCCGTCGGAGGTTCAGGGGAAACCGGAGGAGTCGATCATCCGACTGCACGAGGCCTATATGTAGAAGACCCAATTAAAACGAACGATTGATATACTCTATCTAATGTAGCCTAGAGTACACGGGTGCTTGAGTGCTTGATGAGTGCTTGTCTTTCTATATGTGGCGAACGCTGGCCATATATCGGAGGTTCGCTAGTCGGACTAACGTTATCCCTTTGATCCGACCTATCAGATCTCATCAGTATTCTCGCGGCGGTCACATGACTGGCATTGGTCATGTGACCTGTTATCTATGTACATGAATAGATGATGGATAATAATGCATAAGTCCGCACTGCGGAGGTCGCGCTGCGGCCTCCGTGCTACACAAGTTCTAACACTGATAACTCAACTAGTTGAATTCAACCTGGATGGGGACCTGATTCGATGGGTGCAGTCCTTCTTGACTGACAGATGGGTTTAGCTACAGATTGACAACACACAGTACCCAGCACACCCAATTAACTCTGGAGTTACACAGGGCTCACCAGTGTCACCAATTCTCTTCATTATCTACCTCAGCAGTGTATTTGATGCAATTGAGAGGAGAGTGAATGGTATCCAGTCTCTTTCTTTTGCAGATGACATAGGCCTGCTTGTTTCAGGATACTCAGTTAGAGAAGTCTGCGATAAGCTACAAGAGGCAGCCAAGGTGGCCATTGAATGGGGACATGAAAACGTGGTCCAGTTTGATGCAGGAAAAACTGAAGCAGTCCTGCTTACCTGCAAGCGCGGCCGGGAGCTGGAAGATTAGATTCAACAAGCATGAGTGTGTCACGGACTCGGAATAGTAGATAATAACGAATTGAATTCCTATCTAGACTATTGTAGCCATCGACGAGAATATCGAATCTGGAGAAGAAAAGAGAAGAGGAAGTCTATCTAGGTAATGAAGGGGTTTTATAGAGGTTGTTGCCGACATGGTTGAGTAGCAGCATTTGCGATGTATCATTCATTGCTGCAGTGTTGAACCGTCATATATGAGTCGTCATATATGAGTCGTCATATATGAGTCGTCACAGAGTGGAAATAGATGGCAACTGTGTGCCCTTCAATCTGGAGGCAATACAATGGCTTGGTGTCTGGCCTGATTCTGGGATGAATCTCAAGGCCCACTATCAAACCTGTATGCGCAAGGCACGGGCTGCAGAAAACAGAGTACAACACCTATGCCAATCACAGACTCGCCCCAGGACTAGCTTAGGCCACACCCACCCTGCTCAGAAACACAAGGAGAGCACTCTGCTCGAAATCACTGCGCATACAGGTGGTTTGGGGCGAGGAAAAGGATCAGAAAGATTATAGAAGGAGGCTAGTGCCTCAGGAGCTTCTAGGGATAAGAGACTGTAGAATAGCTACCAGTCTTAAGTCCACGAATAAGGGTCTATCATAGCTCTAGGGCTCGGTATGGACAATAAACTTGATTAAATAATAATAATACTGCTTGAGGCATTGTACTGTGGAGCCACGGAAAAACGAGGTTGAACTTAGTGCGTTGTATAGAGGTAGATTTTCAAGCTACCCTTTTCTTTCCGTCGAGGTCAATAATCTGTTTGGTGAACTCTTGTAGACATATACTTCGAACCCAGACTGGATCAAGAATCCAAGGTTACGGTAATATATATGCAATTGCACGCTACTCAAAAGTTGATTCTTTGTTATATTTGTACTTCATTTAGATAACCATTTGCTTTTTCAGTTCGGACCCATGCTTTCTATTTCTGTTTTCTACCAGCACATATGTTCAATATTTATGGCATTTCGACATCTGACCGTAGATTCCTGGCAGTCGCAGGAATAATGGTGAATTCGGTGATAGTCGGGTTGTTCTCGATGAAGAGATAGTCAACCTCCTCGAGTGTAAGCTCAGTTGTCTCGGGAAAATAGAAATAAACTACTGGCACAAAAACGAAATTCTGCAAGCATTAGTAACATTCCCCGACCCCCCAGCTGCAATGCCATGTCCCAGCCCGCCGCCAGCACCGGCGACAACAACTCAATCTCCTGATTGAGCTCGGCTTTTTTTCAGAGCAGAATAGGCGGTGACGCCACTACGTAACAAAGGCGCTGCGATATCGCTAGACAGTCCGTCAGGAATGGGGGCCATGTAGAGGGCCGGGTCAAGAGCATATTCCTGGAATATACCAGGACGAGAATTTCCGGACTTTTGTCCCTTCTGGCAGATTTTGTCTGCACCAGCCATGCAGGGCGCACAGCTGCCACACGTGAAGGCAATCCACCTTATGCCCACGCGGTCTCCCAATTTGATATCAACATTGTCGCAGGACGAGCCCATTTATGCACCGGTTACAACATTCTCATGACCACCAACCTGTTTAACCTTAGTTAGTTCCGGGACGAAGCTCCACTGAAGACAAAAGAGAGCCGGTTAAAATTACAACATTTGGATATGAATAAGCTGCAGAGGCGATACTTACTGAATTCAATAACAAGCTTAGTGCTGAATGGCATACCCCGGAATCAAAGCTGCAACTAGAATGAGCGAAACAAAGACATTAAAATTTGACACATTGGCTTACATACAGTTTCGGCAGAACTTCACCAAGCCCTGGCTCTGGAGTCTCAAGCTTAACAACATTGGTAGAGATTTCTCCGGGCTTGTCATTTACAAGCGCCTTGTATGTTAGAATTCAAATCGGGTTGGTTAAAGCTTCCTCATCAATATCACTTGTAACATCTATAGCCGTTCACTGCCGTCCATAGACGCCTGTCAGCGCATCTGAAATGAGTCCCCTTAACGTTGGATGTTTGTGGATATAGGTCAACCAGATAGAAGAATTGAGCAACAGTAAGTAGCTCGACACCACTTATATCAGCAAAATGGACATTTTCTTGATACACACATATCCGTACGTATAGACACTTCGAGAACAGTTGGTATTTATGTGGGCTGTCAGGAGTTCTCCCACATTGGAGAATTAGAACCCAAGGGCTCTGAGAAAGTATGAAGAGGACTCTCGACCTATTGATTGAATTTCATTCTGCACATTTCATTTGCAGGCCAATGATCAAGAGGGCTTTGGTGTGACTAGATATCAACAGTGGCATGGTATGGGGCGTTAGATGCGCTCTGCAGTTGTACAATCCGAGGCTATTATAGAAGGCTAGCGTCAACGTCCTTGTTTGCACATATTTGTCGGCGGAGCAACAATTGCATGAGGTATTTAGCTTACCCAGTCCTGTTGGGCAAGGTCCGGTAGATGGGGCGTGGGGTTGAATCAAAGCCGTCTCCAGTTCGGGAAATTCTCCTCACCCTCGACAAAACGGCCCCAGAAAACCTGGAGCGAACGGCCTTTTGACCCGTCGTGTGGGGCATGTTGTGGAAATGGTTCACTAGGGCTGTGCGTGCTAAACCGTGGCCAGTTTAGTAATGTGGGTCGACGAACGGAGAAAACGGCGAGAGTACCCGGTCGATTCTACTTCATATGGATGTATGTTGAGCGGGATAAAACTGGGGAAGATACGTATTTCCCCAGAATTTGGGCAAAAGATCCTTCGCTTAAATTCAGCTTATCAGCTCAGGAAATTGCAGGCATCGTTTTCTTTTCACTTATTCACTCACCAAACCTTGATCAAGACTGTAACGCGATTAGAAAGTACAAGTGATGGCAAACATTGAAGCAGACCACGTCGAAGAGATCTCAGACGAGGCTCGGACAACTTCGCAAGTCAAGGGTGGGAGCATCGGCAAAGATGAGGATTATGAAGATGCGATCCCAGCCAACGAATATCCCCATATAGCTCACCCCGAACCGTCGCCATTCGAGAGTTGGATCCCTGGCGGATACAGTCAATCCAGAATGCTAAGGTTCAAAAATCCCTCGACGATGTACAGGGTACTCAACCTCTTTGCTGGTGAGGAATCGGTGTAGGCCTACTGCTTTTGACTCTAACTGATTTTGATACAAGGCACTGCGATTTGCTTCTACGGGTATGACCAGGGTGTTATGTCAATGGTCAACCTCAATCCTGATTACCAGAAGCTCATGGGCATCTTCCCTCTTGAAGGTACGCTACCAATGTCATGGCTTACTGGGCATATTCTCATACCAAGTTTAGGGAGTTCTAGGAACACGGCTGCGGAGGGTGGTATCGTTGCTGTATACTATGGTGGCACGATGATTGGAGCACTCATGGCAGGATATTTGGCCGATCGATGCGGACGTATTAAAGCTATTATCTTTGGCTGCTTATGGACCATTCTGGGCGCTGCACTGCAGGCATCGGCCTATAATATCACGTGGATGTGTTTTGGGCGTGTTCTTGGTGAGACCAACCCCGTTCGGGCTTGCTGTACGACACTGACATTTTGTACTTCTAGCTGGCATTGGAGTTGGGTCTATCGACTGTGTTATTCCGGTTTGGTCAGCGGAGGTCAGCAGCCACTCGGCTCGAGGAGCGTTTTTAGCTCTGGAGTTTGTCATGGTACGTTTTCCTTAACGCCCTCGTAAATTATCTTGGTCAAAATCTAATCGATTCATCGACCTAGAATATCGGAGGTCTGGCGATGGCCTACTGGGTTGAATACTTTGCCTCCTTGAACCCAAACGAATCCATGGCTTGGCGAACACCACTAGCCTTGCAATTGGTATTCATTCTCATTATCGGAGCAGGTGTTAATTTCTTCCCAGAGTCCCCTCGTTGGTTAATGAAGATGGGACGGCACGAAGAAGCGCGAGATATTCTGAAAGCCACACGATCTGGGGATATTGAAGTGGAAGCCAGTCAAATCATGCAGGCTGTGCAGTACGAGCTGAAGGTGTCGTCGGCTAACGAATACCTGGCCATGGTTTTTCCCAGGGATAAGTATACCCGAACGCTGCGATGGCGAGTCTTCCTCGCTGTCTGGTTGCAAATTATGCAGCAGCTTGTTGGCATTGGAGTAGTCACTGTTTATGCGGTTGATCTGTTCTCCACGGCAGGATTCAATAAAAATCTGTCGAAGCTCCTGGCCGGTTTTAACAATATTAGCTATATGTTTTCAGTCTTTTTCGCGGTCATCACCCTGGATCACTATGGACGCCGGCGTAAGTTCCTGCAGACATCCCTCTCATGGCAGATTTGGCACTAAAAATTCTTGCAGAAACCATGGTCTGGGGAGCTGTAGTCATGGGCCTTACCCTACTGGTGGCCGGTATTCTGGATATGTATGCCCAGGAGGCCGGACCAAGCCAAAGAAAATTCGGAGCTGGTGTCGCAGCGATGACCTTCTTCTACACAGCCACGTTTGGCGCCACCTGGCTAACCACGCCGTGGCTTTATCCAACAGAGGTCAGGCACTGGACTTGCTTCTTTTCCCCCTCCTCTATCTCTCTCTCGTTCTTGAAAATATACTGACAGCACAATAGATTTTCCCACTCACCGTGCGTGCCAAGGGAGGCGCGTGGTCTGTAGTTGGATGGTCAATCGGAAATGGCGTGGTGACAATGATTACCCCTTTCCTCTTCCAGGCCATTGGATATGGTACGCTTCTACTACTATGCGGGCTGAATTTTTTCGTCATCCCGTTTCTGCTCATACTTTACCCGGAAACAGCCGGTCGAAGCCTCGAGCAGATGGATGTCTTCTTTGACAACGCAGATACTTGGAATGTGTTCGCGGCCAGTAAAACAGTTCGCGAGAAAGGCATTGATGATTGGCAGTGGGCAAAGAAGGTTTCTACGAGAGATACTACTGTGGGTGGATAGATAGCTACATAGGCTGATCGTCAAGCATGTTTCAGCCGGATGGACCGAGCGCGAATTTCGTTTTGGTATAGAATAATCTTAAATTGGTTCATTGTTATCATCTTGAATAGCTACACACACCCATCTGCGTAAGCAAAATGAGTAGACCTTGGATCGATATCTTTAGATCTTGTTCGTCCGGGGAAGCCTGGAGGTTTAATCTGGGCCAGAAAACGAAGGCATTTTTCGCCGAACATCCCGTGCGGGAGTGAAGGAGTCCAGGCCTTGGAAATTAGACGGAGATGTGGATTGAGCGTATAAATCTAGGGTTGTGGGGCGCGGACGGACAAGACGGCGTAAACTCCGATATTGGACGGAGGCATAGAAATTCAGATGAGGTATTAGTGCATATTTAAATGGCCCTTGAACGAGGCCCTCTGTGCCTTTTGAGTACTCAGGCAGTTACATCCCTTACATCTTACGAACGGAAAAATGCAGGTCAGTGGATCGAAGTTCTTCTCGCACTATGGAAGCGACCATCTAAATACAACATACAGAATTTGTCGTTTGTCCTTGAAAGAGTTCAGAGCCTGAGATTTGAGGATCGCCCGATCCCACAGCTCCGGGATGACCACGATGTTCTGGTGAGAGTGAAGTTCACAGGAATCTGCGGCAGCGATGTAAGCTCATCTTCTGGCATCTTTCTGAGCCAATCCGACACTGGCTAACACTACTTGCTCCCAGGTACATTATTGGAACCGTGGAGAGATTGGGCACTTCAAAGTCGAGCAACCAATGGTGCTGGGACACGAGTCCTCCGGAATCGTGGAATGCATAGGAGCCAAAGTCACGACGCTGAAAGTGGGTGATCGCGTTACCATGGAGCCTGGAGAGCCATGCCGCCGATGCGATGTGTGCAAGGCCGGAACATACAATCTCTGCCCTGAAATGGCGTTTGCCGCGACCCCTCCTTATAATGGCACTCTAGCGAAATACTACTGCCTGCCAGAGGACCTTTGTTACAAGCTGCCAGACAGCCTTAGTCTGGAGCAGGGCGCGCTTGTGGAACCGCTCAGTGTCGCGGTGCATCTTGTACGACAATCGTATGTGTCACCTGGTGTATCGGTTGTGGTTTTCGGTGCTGGGCCGGTCGGATTGTTGTGCTGTGCGGTTTCCAAGGCATTCGGGGCTGCGAAGGTGATTGCAGTGGACATTCAGCGCAACAGGTTAGAATTTGCCAAAAGTTTTGCAGCGACCTCAAGCTTCCTACCGGACAATGTCTCGGCTCACGACAATGCCGCGCGCTTGGGTATGGAAAATGAACTTGGCAGTGGGGCTGATGTGGTGATTGACGCGTCGGGGGCAGAGGCTTCCATCAAGACTGGTATTCACGTTCTCCGACCCGGCGGCACATATGTGCAAGGAGGCATGGGCCGTGATGAAGTCAGTTTCCCTATCACAGCCGTTTGCACCAAGCAGTTGAACGTGAAAGGAGGTTTTCGGTATGCTACTGGTGATTACAAGCTCGCAATTGAGCTCCTTGCTACGCAGAAGGTCAAGGCGTTGGATTTGGTCACTGATATTGTGGATTTTGGAGACGCACAGCGGGCTTTTCAGCAAGTGAAAGATGGAAATAGCATCAAAGTTCTGATCGCCGGGGTTGAAGACTAGGCACTTATTTGGCAGTACATTTGCTTCGTGTTAAAATATAGATAGAGGGAACGGGTTACTATGGGAAGTTTGGTCTTTGTACACTATGTTTATGTAGCTTCCAACTCCTTCCAGCCGTGAAGATTGTACTACTCAGCTGCCTCTTAACGTGCTTTTGACGGTGTGTCATACTATTTATTGTTGGGCAAATTTATAAATGCCGTGAGCCTGTGGAGCCGATGCGGGCAAAACGCCGAGATGCCCGATTTGCTCTTCTAGTTTAAACTCCCGGTTCTACAGACCACATATATAGTTTGAGTGTCTCATGAGCGTTCGTTTTTCATTGATATATGCCAATTTCTCAGAGTGACCATTATTATAGTCTCTTTACTACCATGCAGATAAAGACAGGATATTATATTGGCATTGATGTGGGAACAGGGAGCGCACGTGCCTGTGTTATTGACCACAATGGTGACATTGTCGGCTTAGCCTCCCAGGATATTGGCCTTTGGCAACCAGAACAGGGCTATTATGTACGTACTTGAGATGTGGCTCTATCCCCTTTTTTCTTTTCATGGAGTCTGTGCTAAACGTGTGTGAATCTAGGAACAATCAACCTCTGATATCTGGCGATGCATTTGCTCGGTTGTGCGTCGAGCCCTCGATGAACACGACATCTCACCATCCCTCGTATACGGAATTGGATTTGACGCAACATGCTCGCTATGCGCTTTTTCAACAGAGACTGACGAGCCGGTCTCGGTCACCGGCCCAGGTTTCAATACCGATCGTAATGTTATTCTTTGGCTAGACCACCGTGCGGCCAAGGAGACAGACATAATAAATGCCACGGGTCATAAAGTTCTGCGATACGTGGGCGGGAAGATGTCTCTCGAGATGGAGGTCCCAAAGATTCTTTGGCTGAAGAACAATATGCCCGAGGAGACCTTTGCAAAATGCCGATTTTATGACCTTGTTGATGCCCTGACCCATCTAGCGACAGGTGGGAATGCCAGGAGCTTCTCTAGCATGGTATGCAAGCAGGGGTATTTACCAAAGGGCGTCGAGGGAAGTGTCAAAGGCTGGCAGGAGGACTTTTTGCAGGAGATAGGCCTGGCTGACCTGGTTGACCGCGATTTCGATCGTATTGGGGGCGTAAACTGTGAGGTAATGATGCGCGTGCATTAAACATGGATTAATTGCTGATGTTATCATGACTAGAACGGTCGGCACTTAAATGCGGGCGAGTTCTCGGGCACTCTATGTGAGAAGGCTGCTATCGAGCTCGGTTTACGGCCTGGAGTCGCAATTGGGAGCGGCGTGATTGATGCATATGCTGGGTGGATAGGCACCGTTGGTGCCAAAGTGGAAATGAATCAGGAATGGGCAAGCAATACAAGCTCGGACCCGGTTCTTGATGGTAGAACTGAGGCATTCACGCGCTTGGCTGTGGTGGCCGGAACATCATCCTGCCATATTGCAATGTCTCCCGATCCAATCTTTGTACCTGGCGTCTGGGGTCCGTACCGGGACACAATTTTCCCCGACTGCTGGATGGCCGAAGGAGGTCAGTCTGCTACTGGCCAGCTGCTCAAGCATGTAATTGAAACCCACCCGGCGTTCGGACAAGCCCTTGCTAGTGCCGAGAGCCGCGAGATGAACATCTTTGAGTTCCTCAACTCCCATCTTATTGAATTAGCTGCTGGGCGGGGGTTGCGTTGTGTGGCAGACCTGGCACGGTATTTCTTCTTCTACGGAGACCTGTTTGGGAACCGGTCGCCATTGGCAGACTCGAATATGACAGGCTCCCTTGTGGGTCTGTCCAGCGACACATCGATTGAAGGCCTGGCCGTCCATTATTATGGCACACTGGAATTCATCGCACTGCAAACCAAACAGATTGTGGAGACGATGAACAAGTCTGGCCACAAGATTAGCTCAATCTTCATGTCCGGATCGCAGTGCCAGAACGGTATCCTGGTCAATTTGATTGCTTCGGCATGCAATATGCCCGTTGTGGTTCCGCGCTACATCCATTCGGCAGTTTGTCATGGCGCTGCAATGCTGGGTGTCAAAGCAGCCAGCGCGGATTTTGAGGGCACGACAGTAGATCTGTGGGAGGTGATCGACGCAATGAGCAAACCTGGGGAGGCATTCTATCCCACTAAAGATGAATATGAAAGGACGCTGCTCGCGGCGAAATATCAGGTCTTTCTAGATCAGTGTCAGAGACAACGAGAGTACCGCGCAATTGTCGATAAAACTACCAACTTTTAGATATTTTATTCTCGCATTAGATTTCATTTCAACATTACAGTGATATAAGACAGCTGTCAATTATTCAAAGAACCTATGTCCACTGAAGCCTTATAGTGACCGATTTCTGAGGCCCCGGAAAAAAGCCAGCGTGACCGCACATTAGTTAGATCAAGCATCGTACGTATATGATATAGGCGGGGATATCATTCTTTACCTCGTTAATCAGATTCATACGGATAATCGACTCCCCGCCCCGATCCCGCTTCACCTACAATTAGCCGAGGATTTCTGCTCTCTCCGGACATACATTAAACATCCCTGACCATCAATTTTCTCTATTCAATGATCCAATGGACCCAGAGTTTGAATGCCGTTCCCCAAGGTCAGACAGCCATCAGGAAGATGACCGGCCACCCCCCAACAAGAGGGTAAAGACAGGGCCGTCCCGTCGAAAGCCAGCCTGCCAAACGTGCCGACGGCGCAAAGTCCGCTGCGATAACGCTCAACCGACCTGTAGCTTCTGCTACGCAAATGACTCGGAGTGTGTTTATGCCATGCGTCGGGATGCTGACAATCCGTATGTTTGAAGCTTACCGGATAAGATGGGTTGATATATTGTCCATACTAAAGTTCGAGGACCAGGGAGCCGAGTAAAGTAATGGAGCGACTGGACACATTGTCTCATGCAGTCGACAACATCCAGTATCTTCTAGCCTCACAGGGTAAGTTGTATCATCAGATGTAGTTGAAAAAAAGGCTGGGATGTACTAACATATGTGAGGCACACCGTTACAGCCAAGTTGGCCCTCCGGGATACAATCCCACGACCGCCATGCGGGCTTTCCCATAAGAGCGGAAGGATGGCAAAAGGATTACCTGCAGATTCCCACCTGCCGATGTAGTGCTGATGCTGTTCTCACCTGGCCAATCTTCAGGGGCCAGTTTCGGGAAAGTTCACTGATCACCACGCTCTTCCAGTACTCTCATGGGGTGGTAGAAGACCGGCCAACAGAGTCATGGACCCTGCCTGACGGGCTCCGATTCACTTCAGACGAGCAGATACCAACATTGATTGATCGATTCATTCAAAACGTTCACACGAAAAATCCGATCCTAGATTTAGAATCACTCATTCGGTCCGGTAGGCATGCTGCCGAATTTGGTCCTCAGTGGGACGCCCAGTCCTGCCTTGTGCTTTTAGCCTGTGCTTTGGGATGTATTTCGCAACCATTTGCCTCTTCAATGCAAGGGCCCCAAACAGCGCGATCACTACATGAGGGACTTGGGTGGCGCACCCCAGGTGTCACGTCAAGTTCCGCTACTCAATCGCGTGAAGGAGAGGCCTTTTTCATGATGGCCTGCAGGCGAATTGGTCTCCTGCGGTACTCGGTTATCGGTGCACAATGCCACTTTTTTGCAGGAGGTATGTGTATCAGATGTTGACAATTTGCTAAGCTCCTACATTAATGCTTTCGTGTCCAGTCTACTTGATGTATACCTTCCGCCCGCTGTCAGCCTGGAACCATTTTTACCAGGCTTCGACATTCTACCGACTGCGTCTGAGACTAATTGATGGGCTTGATAAATCGGCGTATGAGGCGGAACAACAAGGAGCCTCTGCCGCTCAACGCCTTGAGCAGAGTCTCTATTGGTCGTGCTTCAAGTCAGAGGTTGAGATCCGAGTCGAACTGCCATTGCCACAATCTGCTATAGCCGAATATGAGTACCCAGCGCTCTTCCCCACACCCCCTACTCTGTCCGAGGAGTACCCAAAGCAAAGAAACCAGGCATCCGATTGGACTAATTCTGAATCCGCGGTAAGATCCCCGGATGGTAATCGGCCGGAACTGTCTGGTATGGGAGTATGCAATCGTATTACAAAGCTTTTCAACGAAGAGCAGAGCTGGTACTACTATCTGACGGAGGTAGCGTTGAGGCGCATCGGCAATCGCGTTCTAAATTCGTTTTACCGAGAGGACCCCTCAGCGTGGTCAAACATCAAGCCGATGATCTCAATAGCTCTGGAGTTTGAATCGCAGATTGATGCATGGTTCGCAAACCTGCCGCCGGCCATGCAGTCTTACGATACCGACCGAAGTACAGCCAATACTGGGCAGGGATTCTCCATACTGGACACACAGGAATCAATATCCATGGAGCTTAGCTGGGCGCTGAGTAACAGATTCCTTGAAATTCGTCTGTGGCTCTACCAGCCATTTCTCTTCTTTGCAGTTCATCATCCTACCGGTACCACTTCAACAGCTACAGACACCATGCCTTCCCCACTGAGTAGCGAGGAATTCGCCACGATACAGGGACTCGTGCAATCGGGTCTGGACTGTAGCATGAAGATTCTACAAGCAAGGTGTCTTCGTCATCGCCATCACGGCATCTGGTTTGATCTTCGGGCCCTGGTTACAGCGTCGCTGATATTTATTGCTTTGGCACGAAGCGGAAATGTCAACCTTCCAAATATCCATCCTAGGGGGCTGAGAGACCATTTAAACCGTACGCTGGAGGCCCTAACCTATTGGGAAGACGAAGCCCCAGATATCAAAAAAGCGCGGGGGGTTCTGGATAATTTACTTCGAGAGATGAGTTAGGCAGGAATGGAGAGACCGTCATATTCTTCCTAGACAAGAGTTGGCATTTGCTATCAACGTCCCCAAAATCATGGACCGACATCTTTAGCCAACATTCCTCGCCAGCAAATAATTGGCGTCTCATTCATATGCGAGCTACTCAGATGTGAGCTACTCAGTATGGATGTCGGAAATGGGCACTTTTATGAAAATGTGAACACAAAGGACGAAACAGCCTTTTGCCAGCAAGGCCAGTCTAATCCCAGTTATAACAGTATGTAATCAAGGCCATGATCGACTAAAATATTCCCTTGGAGATCGTTGGATTGATTTAACTTCAGCATAGCATTGATCTAACTAAACTAATCGAGTACCTATGACGCACTCCATTTATTCATCACCAAACACAGAACAGTAATGCTTAGGCCTCGCCTCTCTCGTAGGGCATAGATGAGTAGGAATAATAGATGTGAAATGATATCAACTTTCAAGAACCCGTTTACTGCGCTCTCCCAGGGTACGAATAGTACAAGCCATCCACAACGCGAATGTTGCTGTATGGGACCTCACCCTTGCCGTTGTGGAAGAAGTGAATTTCGGTGAATTCTGCATACCGAGGCTAATTTTGAGTTAGCTCTCATGCTTGTACACAGAACACAGAAAAGAGAAAAGCCGGAGGAAGGAGAAATAGGAAACATACCGAACATAAGTAGACATCGCAAAGTGCCCGTAGACGTATACCTCCAAAACAGAGTTGTCGACATTAGTAATAAGGTCCAGAGCCTGTGAGGAGTAGGGCTTTTGTTGTGCTTGGCATTGCCATCGTGGCCGTCATCGTGGTGACTCTTGCCGTTATCGCAGTCGCTGGGACTGCTGGGCAGCTGCCGTTGATGTCGAAGAGGTGAAGGCGTCCGGATTTGGTGGACGCATCGATGCCACTGGTAATTTGAGGCAGCATTGGTGTTGTAGTGGTCAATGATGATGGATTCGTCCGAATATTGGTAGTAGATGGTAGTTCACTCTTCTTCCATGGCCAGAATCTGGAAAAAAAACTGCAAGGTGGAGTCACGCGCTTATTCTGGGAAAGGAGAGTCGGACATAAGAGTGAAAAGACTTGCTCCAGGAGAGCAGTCGAATGGAATGGTGCCTTCGGTTGAGACCGCCTGGTTCATCGAAACTTGGGACTCTAGTAATAGCATCAAAAGTCTCCAGCACAATATCAATTCCAAGGGTCTCAAGTTCAACACACAGTCGCCAGGGTCGTTGGCCACATGCCATGACCTAGTCTCCTGCACAAGGTCATTGTTTACCACATTCAGGATGTCCTTCACATACAGCTCGCGTGGCAGAAGCAATACAATCTACCAGCCTTGCTTCTCTGCAGGGATGCCCACAACTCCGCCAAACATATCACCACTAAGTTAGATGCAGGTGATGAAGCGGTTTCGAGCGCCACCGCCAGAGGAAACTTGAGAGGTGCTAGGTACAATCTCTCCAGCACTAGCATAGACTGACAAGCCCCATTAAAAACGCCGACTGCCACTGCTCAGCTGGCGCAGCGCCTTAATCGACAAACAGCATCAACATGACAACGACTGCTTGGCGATGCCGCACAGCCCCTATAAAATTCTTCATGTAAATAGGCTTTCTTCTTCTCTTCCCTTCCCCAGATTTGATATTCCTATCTAAACTAGTGTAGCCATCGACGAGAATATCAAATCTGGAGAAGGGAAGAGAAGAGGAAATATATCTAGATGATAAAGGGGTTTTATAGAGGTTGTTGGCGACATGGCTGAGTAGCAGCATTTGCGATGTATCATTCATTGCTGCAGTGTTGATCCGTCATATATGAGTTGTCACAAGCCCCATAACATAAGACTGAGACCACACAGGCAATTGTCGCTTGCCGCAGTAGGGGAGCTTTAACTCCTCGTACAGTGTTGGCCAGGGCTTGTATGCCATTAGCGGCCAGTTTTGCCTTGGCTGCCAGTGTCTGGGTGTGTACTCTGAATTTGAGTTTCCAGTCAAACCAGATACCCAGCCATCGTGTGGCCTCATTGAGTTGGAGAGGTTTAATCTCTGCTGTGCCCTCCGGGGTTTGGATTGAACAGGTGGGATTGTTACTTTTCCAACCCCTGGCGAAGTGTTGGAGTTCTGTTTTGACCAGGTTAAAGGTGAGACCCTCTCTTTGGCCCACTCCATCAGGTCTGTTGCAATACTTTGCAGTCTGGTAGTGTTTTCTTCAAGAGATTTTCTGATAACCAGTTGGCAGATATCATCCGCATATCCAGAACGACCTCTGTGGGCAATCATTGGCCCGATCCTGAAGATGGTTTCAACATACAACATGAACAGGATTGGTGAAACTGGGGAGCCCTGAGGCAAGCCTGCTGGGACTGCAAAAGTCGAGCTCTGATGTCCATCCAGCCGTATAGCTGCTGTGTGGTCTTGGGTAAAGCTCCGCACTAGAGCATCACTTGGGGTGGGGCGGGGTGAGCCATGAACCTGCCCGCCCCAAACCCCAAGATTCTTCATACTATACCCAATGAGTCGATCAAATATTTCACTATTCCAACCATGATTAGTTTGGGGTAGCTAACGGGGCGGGGTATCCAGTCCGCCCCGAATTCTCAGTATTTTCTGTATTCAGTACAAAATTATTCGATATTTTACGCAGTTTTGTACAATTACAGCCAGATTACCATATCGATATACAACCTCATGCGAAGTTCTAAGTTGAATATCACTGCAATCGTCGCGATATAACATAAGTACCAGGAAGAAATCAGTCTGAAATCATGTAGACCCTTATGTTTATCCATAACTTATACAGGTCCGAAGGATTACGAACCTAAGAAGAAATTCAGTTTGAGCGCTGTACGACGGCATGGCTGCTACTTGGAGTAGCGGCATTTGGATGTATCAACCGTTGTTGCACTGTTGAGCCGTCATGTATGAGCCGACATATGAGTCATCACACCGAGCAAACAAACAAAGAAAGCACTAGTCATGCTGTTGACAACCTCTATAAAACCCCTTTATCATCTAGATAGATTTCCTCTTCTCTTCCCTTCTCCAAATTTGATATTTTCGTCGATGGTTGCAATAGTCTAGATAGGAACATTGATTCATTATTATCTACTATTCCGAGCCCATGACAAGCACCATGAGCGCTTTAAACATGATGACGCTTTGCTGACATGCTCATGTGACCGCAGAACAGAGCCCTCCCACTTTCATTTCTGCCGGGAGGGTCGCGAAGCAGTAGCTGTCACAGCGCTCTACTAGGATAGTGGAACATCCAACTCATGGATTCTACCTAGGTAGCTATCAACGAGAATAATCAACATGAGGAAGGAAGAGAGGAGGTAACGCCGTATTTATCAACAAAGCAATAAAGCAAACTGCACCTCACGTGATACCCAGCCAACGTGACCAGGCTGTCACAGTAGCACATCCATGGGGCCAACAATCAGTAGCAGACATCCTTACCGAAAAGACAGGATTCACTGCATATGCAGATTGGCTGGGTAAATCACAATTTTACACAGCCATCTGTAGACGCCATTAGGATGCTAAATGCATCAATGTGGGAACCTATAAGCTTAACCCTAGCTCTCTCCCTTTCAGGTTTTTTTTTTTTTTTTTTTTTTTTTTCCCTTCCATTTCCCCTTCTGTTCATTCCCCTCTTTTTCCGTTTCCTCCCACCTCGGTTTCTGTTCCAAGAAAACCCCAAGATGCATAGTTTATTGTTTAACAGTTGGAAAACCCAAGCGCCCCCCCCTCCCCCGGCGCGCGCGGGGGGCTACCTGTATTTAGATGATAAATGGTAGTTAAGCTAGAAGAAAGGCAGTTCCGATCTGCCCGTCGTATGTCTCGCATAGGGACCTGGGCTTTTCCGCTTCCGAGGCCCCCAAGGAGCCGTGGAGGCGTGGAAAGACCCGACCTCGACGTTAAATAGAGAGACACACACACCTACTAATAGAAACTACTACTACTACTACTAGGCACTGAGTAGGCCCTGAGTGCTCACTGAGTACTGGCCTGTGACAGAAAATACTCACTGAGCAAGCCTCTGAGCACCCTCATAGAAGTAGTGGTATTCGGAAGGGGAAAGTCACGGTCGCTATAGAAAATCAAGTTCGTATAGGTATATACATATAAACAATAACCCAGGACTATAATGTGATTCAAACCAAACCCAATCAAAAAAAAAAAAAAAATAAGAGAGAGAATGTGGGAAATAGGGGAAGGATAACGTAAAGCAGGCAATTAAGTCGCATTATTGCGTGAAGGTTGGCTGAGGAAAAAAGCCTTTCGACAACAATGATTCCATCTTGACGTCGCCCTCCAACATTGATTGCTCGTGGTACTTGGACGGCACAACGCTTTCTATTGATTTTCGCAAATCTGATCGTATACAAATGCTGGTTATAATAACTTTCGAGTGGTCAATGGCCAACTTTCTCAGACCATGACGCTGGCCTAAGGAGATGTTGAATCACCTGCGCAGAAGCCAAACGTATTCGCTATTCAGTATATCCTACTGTGACACGGCCTCCTATTCTAGAGGCCAGTAATCAGTATCAGTACGTAGATTGTACTATGTTCTCAATATTACTCATTCCTCCTGCAAATATACTATCCTCACGTGTACTACACGTACTATCCCTTCATATTCTTAATCACGCTATCCAGCCTACCAACCAAGGCTACGGTCTCACAGAATGGAAAAGCAAGAGTGTAAAATAAATTATCGAAAAGGAAAGCGGCTACAGTACTAGAGTAATAAGAAAATCCTCCTTCAGATACCACTCCGGGAAAAGAAACCGTATATCCAACAACCCTAATTTCTAGGTCCCCTTGACTCTGATCGCCTATCTTCCCGCGGTCATAATTTCTGTCATCCGGTTCATGCTTCTTGCATTCCTCACATGCAATCAGGCATCTCCCTATACGCTTTTGCTAGCACTGATTGCCATTTGCATGTCTCCGTGCGCATGTATGGAGGAAGACCCTGGAAAGGATTGAGATCATCAGCGGGGGGGTCATTTTCCAACAGCTCGGCCAACTCTGAAAACCCATGAATCTTGTCCTTGTGCTGATTGAGCCAAGAATAGACCTGGTGGACGGCGCTTTCCAACGCTCCCACCACCCACGCATGGTGAGGGCTTGCAGCTTCTCCAATGATGGCGAGATCACCCGACGGCTGGATAATTTTGGGCCATGAGGAACGGAACTGCTGTGGACCAAAGAAGGCAAATGCTCCCACAGAGTGTGGGTTTTGATACCAATCAAAAGCGAAGTGCTCCAAGTATGAGTTACCTATAATCTCCTCAAGCTCAGGCACTGTCTTTCCAGAGTCATCACCCGCATGCAGACGAGCAAGGTCGTGTATAAGGATGTTCTTTAACTCAGTCTCCTCTTTCCATTTGTTCTTCAAGTCTGTGCTCTTGGAAACCAGAGAGCTCAGTCGGAGGGCGTCTTGTTGCCAGGTATATGAGCAGAGAAGGACGGCCTCCTCTTCTTCCGGGGTTTGTAGGTTGTAAGACGGATACACACAAGTTCTGATCGAGAGGTCTGAATGGCCTAGCCCAGCGTGTTTGAGATTCGCATCATTCAATTTATAGAGCCACCACGGATTCCTGAATTTGATTCCGACCTTGCCGGAGGGCCCGTAGCTGAGAGCGCGCATGGCCTGTCGGACGCCATAGTTCAGCTTAGCCTCGCTAGTGTCGATGCGTTGAAGACAACCTAGTGGCACGGAGCTGAAAACAGCGTTATAGGTGTGAGATTGGGGGCCGATATTAGCTTTTTCATACGCGATCTCCACTTGTTGCTCTCCCTTATTCTTGATCTTCGTCACTGCCGTACTCCTCTCCACTGATAATGGATTCTTTAGCTTCTGGACCATTTTATCCGCCAGCACACCGCTACCCCCGAGGATGCAGCGCCAGTCCGTTCCGGGTTTCCAGTCAAAGTCCAGGGATTCTAGCACAGCTTCGCTCAAAGCTTGGTCATACCATTCAGTTCCACTGCGAAATGTAAGTATGGCCGGGTATTGTAAACTTATGGAATTGACACATAAGGTGATAATACTTACCCGTTAAATGCCTCCATCCATTGAATCGTCTCATAGTTTAATGGTGGACGGTGAGCCCTGTCCGAGATCAGTGTTAGCAGGGCGTTGATGGCCACGTTACAGAGCGAATTCTACAACTTACACGGCCAGATATGATCGAGTACTATGGTCGTCGTATTCCATGAGGTATTTCCATCCCTCGCTGGACTTATTGCTGGTAGCCTTGTCTTGCATGAGTTTTTCTCGGAAGGTTTTTATAATGTCATTGAAGACGTCGCTTGGCGGCTTTTTCAAAATGCTAGGGTAAGAGACGAACGCGTCAGTTGGTTTCGTGGAGCAGCGGCAGGTAATACAATGACCAGGAAACGCACTCTTCAGGGATTTTGCCATCTTCATTCAACTTCCATGGATCTAAACCCTGCGCTGAAATTGAAGCGTAATCGCCCCATTTGGTCGTGCCATTGAAGTGCCACGGCTCTTTGTCGCCCTTGATGTAGTATGGGAGAAGATCCCCTAGTTTAGCACCTTGTGTATCTTGGGCTTTGTGCATTTCTAGAAAGTTGAATAGTCGGAAAGTACTGGACTAAGTTTAGCATGTGTTTTCAGTCAGCAATCGGAGACAAACATACCGTTCCATCACCGGATTGTCAGGGAACCTCATGGCTCCCACATCGTAGTAATTACGATTAACCGACCCATCTCTGTTTATTGGGGAGTCGTCGAAGTTATATGTGAAAAGCCTCCCGCCTACCCTCTCTGACGCTTCAAGAATGTCATACTTGAACTGGACTTTCTTTGTTTTGAATTTCTCCTGATACTTCTTGTTGAGGAAGTCCAAAAGCAATCCGGTGAACAGGCCAGCGGCACCTGCGCCGATAATGCCAATATTCAGCACGATGTCTTCTGCTGGCTCAGAAGGCTTAGGTTTGTCCCCGACAAGTTTGTCGACGGGGTCTGGTAGTTCGTGATCATCCGAAAGAAACGGAGATCGCTGGGTGCCAATAGAGGTACCTTGTTTGACCAAATCGTTCCAATCGTTTTTGATAGCCTCCTCAGCATGCTTGAGAGCCCATTCATTGCGGATGTCTTTCCACTCCTTGATTTTCGGATCCAGAGTTTTGTCCATTATGGGGGGAAGAGCGTCACACCAAGTGGAGTTTGAATTCTGGAAAATGAATAATATCTTGGATTGAAACAAGGCTGGTTGAGAGGGTGTTGATGAGCTTGCTGGAGAAAGAGGCAACTCTTTATATGCCTCCTCAAGGGTGATACTCTTTCCCTAATTGTCTTGGTTTCCTCCGGCTGCCACACTCCTTTCTCATTCCCCGCATTACTTCCTGTTGCCAGCCCAGATCTGTCATGAGACAGCCAGCTCGCTCGAAAAACATTCTCTCGAAAGGGAATTCTGCATAACCCACGCCTTGATTGGCAGGCGGCAGCTCATGCTCCAAGGCTCATTGGATATAGTTAACCGAATTCGACGGTCTAGAGGTATGACGAGACAGCCAAAAGATTCTAGATCTGTCCTATGCAACTCCTGTGGGACGCAGGTTGACCACGTATACAAAGGATAACGTGGTCAAGAGGGTCAGTGGCCCTTTTACAATCCTAGCCGTGGTGGTCAGATGCTTGTGCGTTTCTTCTTCATGGCTGACCTAGGACCGTCATATCAATTTGCATGGCGCATTGAATTGATAGATTATTTTCTCTTTGCACATGGTGAGGTATTTTTGCACGAATCTAAATGTAACCAGGGTTGATCAGAAAACATTTTACATTGAACTCTGCCCGAGGATATGTGCCAAGCTATAGAGAACTCTCTAAACATTTGGTTCTGGACTTTCCGTAATTGCAGCCATTCACCCTATACAGAACGAATGGCCATGAGGGTGTGTATATTCATACCAACTGACTCACCATCAGCACGGTGCTTTGTCTGCAGGTTGGGGAAGAGGTGGCCAGCTCTCGTCTCTCTTGTGATTATTCATTTGGTGTAAATGCTTTATGATTTGCTTGTGAAGAATGATCAGTTGAGCAGTAGACACATGCAAAAATTTCATGGCGCTGTGACTGATGCGCATCCATCACATATTCCACTTGTTCTAGAGGTGCTCGCAGTTCATATCCAACCTGCAGTGGGTTCTATGGAGAACCTTGTCGGTGCGGGGATATCTGCAGGGTCCACCCAACCGGACGGCCCGGCCAATCTTTAGCCAAGGAATGAATTCCGCAAGACGTGAGGATCCTAAACCTTCCATCGCGGGGCAAAGGCATCTATGGTAGATCACCAATAACACCAACAGCAAAATTTCCCTTTAGGCCAGTCTCTCAGCTAACGCCAACCAGTGTCTATGTGGTAGCAATAACCCCCAGAGTGATCAGGACAATGGTGGGCCTATCAGATGTCAAACAAGCAGTGCTCAGTGGACTATTCCTTAGTATGAATTACACAACAACCTGCAAAAATGTGGATGGGGCAAATTCGTGATGCCGACTAATGGATGGTGGTTTTAAGTTGAGGCACCATGCATGCACCAATCACCTGAAAGATATTAATATCTCTCCAATCCACTCTATGACGTTCCAAAGTACTTTTGTTATACTAGGTCGACTATGCAAGCTGCAGCGATGCCTTATCTTGTTCTCTACGCTAAAGTTGCGTTCGGAGCGGGTTGGAGCGGTTTGAGAGCTCATTCAACCCACACCACTGCGGATTCGGGTTGACTGAACAGAATCCGAATCTGCTCCAAAATCTGCACTTAGCACTCAGGTAAAATATGTGATACACTAAACCAACTATGATTAGCTTCGGATTGGGTTTGATTCGGAGGCACCTGAAATCCAATCCACACTCTGTGGATCTGTTAAATACAGGTAATCAGAGTCAACTCTGATTACTTTGACACAAAATCACAACCATATTTTATATCAACAGTATTCAATGACGCCATTGGCTCAATCATCAATAGATATAATTATTGATAGCAATCCAAGATAAGCAAGATCCATCACCTATTCACAATTGTACACTTGAACAGAGTAATACTACACATATATAGACTACAAGTGTCACAGAGTAACATATAATCAAAACACTTGGTCCATCACAGGCACAATGGAACTCTTTTCTCATATCTTATCTAGGCAGCTAGTGACAAATACAATTGATACAAGGAGAGAAGAAAGACAGATGCACTGCAGCCTACAAGCTTTGATATTTACTCACCTTTGTAATATGACTGTATTATCTTTGATAGGATCCTGCGAATACAACTAATTCACATAATTTAATCCAACCCACACCAGATGGATTCTCCGAATCCACTGCGGATTGAGAAAATCTCGCTCCAATCCACACCAGTGCGAATTTGGTGTGGGTTCGAGTGGATTTTGCGGATTGTCTGTCACTCTACTCTACGCCATCCACCAGCAGTGGCTGGCTGAATATGCACATTTCAGCTGAAATGTTATATGGAGGCTTCATCAGTACGCTTGCTTATAGAAATGATCATCCATTATTATTATCAGGTCTCAATCGACTGGTTCAAATTGATACAGCTCTATGGAGAAGCCAGCAAGATCATGGTCTCTCTCTCTGTGCCTCTCCTTTCTTTTCCATTCTTTTCTGTGCACAAGGGCTATCCTAGAGGGGTCTCAAAGACATATATAAGAGTGCTCGACCTCCCCTGTCTACAGAATCATCATCGGCAACAATAGCAACAACACCAAGAAAATCTTCATTGACTATTGTGTATATCCTCTCAAGAAAAACATGGCCTCCAAAAACGTTCCCGAAGAACCCAAGACACCTGGACCATTGGGTATGACCTAAGAAGCATTCGCGATGGATAGAATTCTGACAAAATTCAGATGTCAAGTACCCCAATGCTGGAAAGATCCTCGAGGGGCCCAAGTTTGACAACTACTACACCCTAAGCAACGGTAAGTAAGCGTCTCTCTTTTTTGAAATATCAAATACTGATAACTCCAATCTGCAGGCTGTCCTATCGAAGACCCTCAGGTGTCTGAGAGTGTCAGCAAGCAATGTGGAAAGAATCGCTATGCGTCGCAGTTGATCCAGGACATCAACACCATTGATACGATCTCCCATATCACCAGGGAGCGGATCCCGGAACGGTAACACACACGCGAAACATCCACATATTTGACAAGACAGGACAGTAATGCTGACAGTATGTACTTTTTTTGACAGATATGTCCACGCGAAAGGTGCGGGTGCCTTTGGTAAATTCAAGGTAACCAAAGATATCTCCGCCTACACTGATGCCAATTTCCTTAACATGGTCGGGAAGACCACCCGACTCTTTGCGCGCTTTTCCACTGTTGGTGGGGAGAAGGGCTCAGCTGACACAGTTCGGGACACCAAAGGAGCTGCCTTCAAACTCTATACAGAAGAAGGCAATCTTGACTGGTTGCTTTTCAATCCGGTAGGCCGGGCATCCACTGCAAGAGCTGTGCATCTAGTCATATGAGACTAACTAATTGAACTAAGGAAATCTTTCTAATCCGCGATCCTGCCAAGTTCCCCTCGATGGTGCACGCAACCAAGAAACATCCACAGACTAATCTAGGGAGTGCAGATATGGTACGTGTCTCTTAGCCCATTAGGAGTTGATGGCTGTTCTCTCTTACCTTTGCTAATGGAAATGCAGTTCTGGGAGTATGTATTTTGAAGTGCTGCTTCTAATCGTTCCAGGTTAATTGACTGACCATAAAACTAGCTTTTTCAATCACAATCCGGAAGCATACAACACGTTGATTCGCCTCTTCACCGACGAAGGCACCCCCAAATCCTACGCCAATCTCAATTACTTCAGCGTCAACACCTATACCTTCACCAAAGTATGCACTGTCCCTGTCCTGTTCCCTGTTATCGGCTAACAGTGTCATTATCTAGCACGACGAAAGAAAACCATTCCATTTCGTCCGTATCAAGATAACACCTGATCCGGCGCCTAAAGATCCCTACTACAACAAGGAACAGGCCCTGACCGAGGCAGGCAAGGACCCGGATATTCTCACCCGCGAGCTCTACGATCGGATCTCTCAAGACACATTTCCGAAATGGAAAGTATTTGCACAAATCATCGACCCAGCGGAGGCAAACAATTCAGACGTGAACATCTTCGATGCAACCAGGGTTTTGCCGGAAACCAAATTCAACTGGACCGAGATTGGCGAAATTACTCTCGACGAGCCTCCTCAGAACTTTTTCTCCCAAGTGGAACAGGCCGGTTTCAACGTCGCCAATGTTGTCCCAGGCTGGGATATTTCACCTGATCCAAGTAGGCTTCCATACCCTCGATGCTGTGATCACACTCCTGACATAATTGCACTTCAGTTCTTCAGATCCGCCTGTTTGCTTACGGTGATACTCAGAGGTACCGGCTGGGTATAAATAATGACCAGCTGCCCGTGAATCGCCCGCAATCCTATGTGTACTCTCCGACCCGACGAGACGGCGCCCACAATGTGACAAATTATGCCGGTCAGAAGAACTACATCAATGGAGACGAAAACAAAAAGACGAAATTCAGCAACAGAAGCTTTGTGGGGTGGGAGGGCAAAGTACAGCGGTTTAAGACCAAGTTTGACGACTCCGACTGGAAACAACCACAGCAATTCTGGGAGGGCTATGGGAAGAACAACAAACCCAACTTCGATACATTCGTGGGGAATGTAACATCTCATTTGGGAGCAGTGGATGATCCAGCTATACAGCAATCCACTGTCGGTAAGTTAAATCCGAGATCTTTCCATGAACGCTGAATGATTCCACTGACCCGCAATGGCAGATAATTTCAACAAGATCGACAAGGCTCTGGGGGATGCTATCAAGAAAGAGCTTGAACGCAGAAAGGTGCCAAACAACAGACACGCAACACTGCCTGGTGTTGTAGCAGGAGGCCAGGATAAGAAAAGTTTTGTGCAACCCACCATCCCCGACCCGGCGACGGACGTCGATAAAAATACCAACAAAGTACCAAAAGAAGAAAGCTAGATTGAGCTGGACTTCTCTTCATGCGGTTGCTTTTATTTTGCTCTCTCTCTCTCCCCTCTCTTTGGTGCAAGGCAGGCAAGACAATTTTCTATGTACATAAGAGAGCCAGACAGGATCCAATGAATGCTATAGGAATGGTTTTTATTTTTTATACATTTTAAACAATAAGTTAGTTAAATGTTTCTCTAATATAAGGGAACAGCCAACTATACTCAATTTACTGATGTGACGGTTAGCAGGCGGCCGAAAAGGGCTACTTCGGCGGCCGTTTTAGGAGTCCTGCTAACCAACTCCTGTCTTGGCATCAGGTAAGCGTATTCCCATGTGTCGGAATCCATAGCTCGGAGATGGACTATCTAAATTGCCGATTGTTTTGTATTAGTCAGCTTGCCCCCCATAAATTGCCAGATAGGGGCTATACAGTAATTCAGACCTCTTTTGCGATTCCATTGGTTGAGCCATATGTTCACTACACCCTGGGTTCCGACACCATGTTAGTATCTGAAGCGGGGTCTCTCGGATCGTAGCTCAAAGGGGAAATCGGGAGTCGATTTATTCCGGACTAACGAGGTCTATATGGAGAGGACTAGCTTAACGGAAGAGGTATATTGCCTATCGAACGTATGTGCGCATACGCAGCTGATTGAGTGCTTAATCTACAATATGTGTGCACACGTCGACTATAAGAATCCTGACCTCGCTACTCGGGCCAACCATTTATCCGATCGATCCTTATCACCACGACTACGGGCTTTTCCTCCACGCCAGGCCGCGGCTGAATCCTTCGGAGGCTGGAATTAACCCAGCAACACTGCAGCCTCTCACATTTTATCAATCACTGAATTTCAGGATGGTTCTGCAGAAAGGCCGTTGCTTACTACACAAAATAAAGGGGCATTTCAAACACAAAAGGAGCCCCTTTTCATCTCCTATCGCCAATTTACCCCCGGAACTGGTGCAAGTGATTGCCACTTTTTTAGATGCTCCAGAATTTTGCTCCCTGCGACTGACCTGCAAAAGGGTCTATGAGAGCACACTAAGATATTTTGGGCACTCTTATCTTCGAACGGTGAAGACAGATCTTTCTTTGAATAAGTTGCAGACGCTGGAAAGCGTGTCCCAGAATTCAAGTTTAGCGCCACTGGTCCATAAGTTGGTAATACAAGCACCAGACGAAGGTCTTGATCTTCTTGGGCATGGGATTTTGTGGAGTCGACACCCTTCAGGTCATATTTCTATGCCACAACAAGGAATCCAACAGTGGCAAGATGTACTCCAGCGTCTAGTCCACTGCAGGTCTTTCCAGTTGATTCGCAATAATGCATATGAGACTGATGAGCAGGGTAGCCTCCTGACTCCCAGTGATGCCATCACAATGATTTTCTGCATCATCATTAACACAGGAATACCTGTGGTGGCATTTTCCCTGGATTTTAGGCAAGGGGCAGGAGCAAACTACCTTGTCACTGAACGCATCAATGCAAACCTGCAGAAATTGGAATTCATCACTGCATGGTCCAATCTTCAGGAGCTCAGTCTCAATTTTGCAATGGAACGAACATTGATTGTTGACTGGGCTTTCCAGCTCATCCAACACGCAAAAAATCTACAAAAGCTTCAAATCGATTTTGATCTTGGCGACGAAACAGCTTCCTTTATCAACCGCCTGTCATATACAGGTTGCCTGTCTCATCTAAAAGAACTAACGCTTGAATCTGTATCATCAGTATCTGGTGAATGCATCAGGCGTTTCCTCCGCTATCATCAAAACCTCCGCAAACTTTCCCTTCATGCTATATTCCTAGATGCAGGAGAATGTCTACCCATTCTCAGATTCCTACAGCATGAATTCTCTGCTCTTGAAGAAATTAACATTTTCAACCTAAGAGACGGACTCAAACTTGTTCATTTTCCAGCAGTGTCAGAAAATCCTATTATTGACGAGGCACAAGGCACCAAATTCACCTTTGTTTCCACAAAAAAACGTGGGGAGATGAGGAACATCGGTATTAGCTACTCAGGTCCGAGGATGTATATTGCACTCCAGAAACTCGTGGACTGGGCACAATTCTTGGGTTATTATCACTGAAATTTGATATTCTCTTTGTTACTTTTTAACCACATTATAGTGAATTGAACGTGCCAGAAATGAGTAGCCTACTGAGGAAATAGATGCCTTCAGTCAAATATTTAATGCAAAATTAGATACATAACAATCCCCCCCCTTTTTTTTTTTTTTTTTTTTTTTTTGAAAACTATCCTATCACCTGCCAATTCCAAGCTCAACCAATCAATTCACAAGGGTCCCCATTTGCATCATAGTCTCGCACGTATATAGGATTGTCATTTTGGATGTAAACCTTCATGGTCGCTCCTCCTTCGTGCTTAGGATCCCAGGTCACCAAAACCTTCCCTCGGTGGCCAACAGTAGACAAACCTGCAGTATATGGTTTACTGTGGATGTTTCCCTCTGACACATTTTCGTTGACCAAGTATTCTTTAATTTTTTTATATCCCACTGAATATTGGGTGGCTGAGTGCACAATATAGGCCACTGACTGTGTTGTGTAGTCAGCCAGGACAAGATTGCGTTCCATTGGGTCAATGATTTTCTGCTGCGTATGCTGCTCATTCTCCATTGTGATGCCTGATCCTGATTCCTGGGGGAAGTGACCAATGGTAACACTGCGTCCATCCACAACCACAAGAACAGTGCAGCTAGAGTGTCACTCGGGGCGGGGTGGGGCGGGCTCTGGCAGGCGATGCCCCGCCCCAGCGGGCTTTGGGGCGGGGTGAGCAATGACCCTTCCTGCCCCAAGGCCCCGGTGGGTTGGGGTGGGTTTTGGCCCAAA